AGGATGTTTTGAGATTCTAGATAGAAGACGTTTTGAATGTTTGACAGGATGTTTTGAGATTCTAGATAGAAGACGTTTTGAATGTTTGACAGGATGTTTTCAGATTCTAGATAGAAGAGAAGTCTTTTCGTTATGATTTTTTCCAATAATTTCCTAATGTTATTTAACAGACTAATGGGTCTATAGTTAGATGGTTCATGGAGATCTTTTGTTGATTTCGATATGACTCAGATTATTGCAGATTTCCAACAAGGTGGGTAATATCTTGAATTAAGTGATAAATGAACAGAGATGTGATGTAGCTAAGGCAATTGTCAGGATAGTTTTTAATTATTAGATTATTTATACCATCTTCACCAGGAACACTTCTATTTTCCAACTGTTTAATATTTATTTTTAATTCGGCTAAGGTTATCGGGCGAGATGGAAAATCGTGTTGATCTGATGGAGGAATCAAGGATTGTGTAAATTTTGGTTGAAACATATCTTTATTCGTGGAGATGAGATTGTCTATTTCGTTAAAGTGTTCGTTATCAAAGGATGACAGGTTGGGTGTCGTGGATGACGATTTTAAGAATTCCGCAAATAGATTACTTTTGTCTCTGTCTCTGACATATTTGGCATATTTATTATTGTATTTAATGTTATGGGGGTTGTTAGTTTTACTAGTCTGTCATATTGATTTAGGTTAGGTGAATTTTTGGATTGGTTTATTGAAATGCAGAAATTTTCCCAATTATTTTGCTGTTGTTCCTGTATTAGTTTTTTTATCTTGTTTCTTTCGGCATTGATTAGTATCTTGATTTGATTATCGCGGGTTCTGATAAACAGTTTGTGTCGTCTATTGCTAATATGTTGATGGATTTCCGAGGTTAATTTCCAGAATTTAAGGTTTTTGATGCGTTTTCTAGAAGGCAATATAGCTTTAATTGAATCTTTGATGTTTTGTGTTAGTTGGTTAGCATAATTGTTGATTATTTCCTTATTTGGTGTTAAGTCTGTAAAGTGTAAGGTTTTTAGGGAGAGGTGTGCTTTAAACTTGTTCCAATCGGTATTTGTGAAATCATGAGTTAAAGGTGGTGGGGGATAACAGTTTAGTGCTTTTTAAAAATCCTTGATGTTTTGTTTAGTTGGTTAGCATAATTGTTGATTATTTCCTTATTTGGTGTTAAGTCTGTAAAGTGCAAGGTTTTTAGGGAGAGATGTGCTTTAAACTTGTTCCAATCGGTGTTTGTGAAATCATGAGTTAAAGGTGGTGGGGGATAACAGTTTGGTGCTTTTTAAAAATGGTAAGTGAGATAGGTAGGTGATCTCCGTCTATATGTTCATTAACTCTGAAATCAGTAATGTTAGCTGATATATTACTTGTGACTATAGCTATGTCTAAGATATCTTGTGTTCCATCGTGGTCCACATGCGTCGTATTATCGTCATTTATGCAAATTAGGTTATTTGTGTTTACGAAATTATTTAGAATATTGCCATTTTTGTTTGTTGTTCTACAAAAAAAGTTGGGGTGTTTCGAGTTGAGGTCGCGTAGAATAATGACTTGTTGGTGATTATTAATAATGTTTTGTAAGAGATTACTCTGAACACTACCACCAAACCAAGTCTTTATAGTAGTGAGATATAGAAATGGTGTATTTAAGTGTTTTACACTCACAAAAAAGAAACCTATCATTCTATAACTATCTGAAGAACTTGTTGCAATCCGCCTCAATTTAATTCTTCATATTGTTAGCCGACACTAGGCAGTTGGTACATAATTGAATATAGTTATTTAAACATTTGTTTAACAACAAATAAAAGCTTGGAATGGTCTAATCTTCAAATACCTATATAATGATAGGTTTCTTTTTTGTGAGTGTAAAACGTTTAAATACACCATTAGTATTACTCAGTCCATCTTTGGTACGTGTATAACTTGTATTTAAATTATTGTAAGAAATTTGTGAAAGACGAAATATTTTTCACACAAGCCAAATATATGTTATTTTTATTCTCAATGAACATATGCTTTTTTATTCTCAATGAACATTTGACTAAAACATTGTTCATAAATCATAAATACAATATTTTCATACTGAACTGGATTACCATTAAATCCTCGATACATGACTCACGTGTAAACGGATGTTTCTATACAATCCTGTTATACTAGAGTTTCGCTATCAGTTCTTTGGAATTTCTTTTGACGAATCCATTCTTCCCACTCCGAAAGCAAAACTATCATCTGACGAAACGTTTCCATTCTCTTTTTGTTGTGTTCGAGACTGAACACCTCTTTTTCGTAGTGCGAAGTAATATCGACTTTTCGTGAAATCGTTCAATCCAAAGGATAAACCCGAGCTCAAAATGGCTGACCTTCTTTTTTCCAGACCGAAAGCGTTGCTGAATTGATTTAAAGAGTTCCTTTTACCAACATCAAAGACAACCTGGTTATTTGGTTGTTTTTCAAGATCAAAACTGAGCTTATGAGACTGTCTTTTGACTCTTTCTGGTGCCATTGGAAAACTGAAACGGTTTTCTGCTCGTTTACCCAAACCAAAATTAAACAGGCGAAAGTGTGGCTTAACCAGTTTCGAAGAAGTATCATCTACAATGGGATCATACGATAATGATTTCCTATCTAAGCCAAACTTGAAGCGATTATCTGATAGTTTGTCTAGGTCGAATCCGAACTCACGAGAATGTTCTTTATTCTGATTTAAAGCAAAATCGTCTATAGAGAAATTATTTAACAGGAATTTTTTATCCCAACCAAATCCGAAACGGTTATCTGAGCGTTTGTCTAAGCCAGGAACAAATTCATGGTAAATTCGCCCAGATGCGTCTACAAGAAAATCATGATCATCATTTTCAGGATGCTTTGGTGGGTCTCTCTTTCCCAATCCAAAAGCAAAACGGCAATCAAGACGTTTGCCTAGTCCAAAATTAAACTGCCTTATTCTTTTTGTCAACTTATCTAATAAGGAGGTACGATCACACTTATTAATGGCATCTCTTTTGTCAAGGCCAAAAACATAATGACCCTTTGGTCTCTCGTTAAGGCCAACATAACGACCCCTTGGTTTCTTGTTAAAGCCAGCATTGAATCGCTTAGGATACATTTTTAAGTCTTCCTGCAGTAAAGTCTCATCTGGATCTGTCGACTCAAACTGATAAGTGTCTCTTTTTCCGAAACCAGAGTTCGAGACATGCTCTGAGCGTTTGTTTGGCTGTTCTCTATCAATAATGTTGAAACTCTTTGTAGGGTTAAAAAACATTACTCTTGTGAATCCACCATTTTGAGCGTTCTGGATTCCAGCCACTGCTAGAAAACTTAACAGAAGACAAAAAATAGTAGCGTAACCGGTAACCGAGATCATCATTCTGAAACGAGAAGAAAAATATGTATTTGCTTCTATAATTACTAGTTAATTATGTTGATAATAATACATTGTTTTGATCCACTAATAATCAATTGTTTTGAATAATATTTTTAAATATGGCATGGCACTAATGTCCAACTTATAAGTACTAAGTGAGCATTATTTTCTAAATATAAATGATAAACGAGCTTCGTCCGAAACGTTTCATAAATCCAGGTTTTGTCCTAAAAGAGTATATATATATATATATATATATATATATATTCCGTTGCGACCTTAATCCCACTAGTCTGAGGTCGCTCGGTAATTTTGTAAGCCAAGTTTCATATTCGAGTAGCTGGCCCAGTCAGGAAACATATAGGGCAAGCATGTTCGGTGACGGGAATTCGAATTCGTGACCTCAAATTGTGAGTCGAGCACCCTAACCATCAAGCCATGCCAGGGCCCTAAATAATATTTTGGCTTCATTAGCTCAAATTTTGAGGATTTAATTTTGCGAACTGATATTAATTTTAAGATAAAGTGACTTTTTACTCCTAAGTCACTCACAAAAAGAAAAGAAAAGAAAAGAATACAAGTACCAATATAAATATTTTCGTCAGACGTATTTTTGTTCTTTAGTTTCGAAATATGAAACAGCTTTGAGCTCGCCTATGGTGACTGTTTCACATCTCAGAAGATCCCACAATATTTATTAGGAGCTTACCCATTTAAAATAAAAGACAAATCATTTCAATATGTTTCCGAAGCTCAAACTGTCATATTTATCTTTAATAACAAATACTTTAAAAAAGAACACAGGTAAAATACAATATGAGATCGCAAGTTATATTTTTTATGATTATGGTTGTGCTTATCATTCATTTACTATTTCCTTCTGTCATTTAGTTTATCAATGAATTTTTAGTTGCATTAAAATGCTAACTTACCTTCTAGCTAATCATTTTTATTTTGAGTAACTATTTATGTATGATGAAACTGACACCAGCTTCCCTAGCGGTAATGTACAGATACTACTAATATAGTAGAATATTATGTAAATTATGATCATATGTGGTGTACTCTCTTGGTCTACTCAGTGAACAAATATCCTGCCATAAACTTCACTAAGAGAGAGAGTCACAAGATAGTTAGTGAAAGATATAGTTAGTAAATTATTGCTGTTTATCACTCGATATTGTTATTATTATTATTGAAAGTTATTTTTGGAATACTGTGTTTGTTGTATATATTTGGAATTAGGTTTTTCCTTTCTGGTTCTTTTTCCTGATTCCATTATTTCAAATAATGTTGATATTTATGATATATTGTTTGTTAACATTAGTATGAAGTCCTGGCCAGGTACGTGTTTATTAATTGTTTTGAATTTATTTCTAAGTGTTGTTCTTGTTGAATAATTTGTGTTTTTCTGTTGTTATTGAACCCAGATTTATTGTAGGAAAGCATCAAACGATAACGATTTTTTATGATTGACCAATCATGTTCTGAGGTGTTGCTCGGAATAGCAACGCTACAGATCAAACATTTTAATTTCATGATTTTATTAACATTATGTCATACCTGATAGACTAATGTTAAAAAATGTGAAATTGTTTACTAGTTGAGGAGGAATACAACATTTTAAACATCATTTCTAGAAAAACAAATTATTCAATATTTTTTAACAAATATTAACAAGTACATGAACCATAAAATGTTTATCGTTTCTTCGAACAAATAACATAAAACAATACAGTTATCAATAAGAATATAAACCACACATAAAAGTCAAAGGAGAAAAAGCAAATATTTAAAACGTTATATGGAATACAAATAGTCATGTAACTGGCAACTCAGATTATTTATTGAAAAAACGTTTCACTGATTACCAAAAATAAAGAATTTCCAAATTGTTTAAAGTATTTGATCTAAGAAGAAATAAGCTCATAATTAGGTTTATCTATATACATGTGTGAGTTATCTATATAATTGTTGTTATTGAATTTAACAAACATTCCATATGAACAGTTAAATGGTTAGTTGGACTGCTAAGAGTAATCTATGTATCCCACTAGTTGGACTGCTAAGAGTAACCTATGCATCTCATTAGTTGGACTGCTAAGAGTAACCTATGTATCCCACTAGTTGCTTTTCATCTAGTCTATTACTTCAAAATACTTTCAAAATTCTTGAGTAGCTTTGTGCGAAATTCAACAAATCAAGCGAACACATATCCTTGACAGATAGTAATTCGATTAAGAGCATTTATAAAAGGTGTTCATGAAGTTTCTCAGTTCTTGATGGTTGTCTGACATTTGTTACATGTTTCTGACAGACGATGATCTAATTAAGAGTATTTGTATTAAGCATTCATCAATTTATCCATTTCTTTAGGTCGATTCGTGACCTTTACATACATTTGATAGATGACAATCTAATTGGTCGTGCAGTAAATATAAATACAGTTGTCACATGTTATACGTTCTGAATGTTCTTTGGTTGACATACCAAGACCTTTCGTCCAAATTACCTAATTAATCCAGCTACATTGTAACTTCCTCTAGAGATCTAGTGCTGCCTACGAGATCATTCAACCGACATAATTCCATTAAATAATTTTCCTTTTGTTTCTCGTTTTACAAGCATACATTAAAGATGTAGCTGAGATACATAGGTTACTCTTAGCAGTCCAACTACTGGGATACATAGGTTAATCTTAGCAGTCCAACTACTGGGATACATAGGTTACTCTTAGCAGTCCAACTAGTAGGATACATAGGTTACTCTTAGCAGTCCAACTAGTGGGATACAGAGGTTACTCTTAGCAGTCCAACTAACGAGATACATAGGTTACTCTTAGCAATCCAACTACTGAGATACATAGGTTACTCTTAGCAGTCCAACTACTGGGATACATAGGTTACTCTTAGCAGTTCAACTAATGAGATACATAGGTTACTCTTAGCAGTTCAACTAATGAGATAC